ATTTAACTTTGCTAAAATAATATCATGATTAACTTGATCAAAGGCCTTACTGAAATCGGTGAAGATTACATCAAGTTGTAATTTTTCATTTAGAGATTTTGTGGCTTGATCCAAAAATATGAAAAGGTTTGTATTGATTGATTTCCCTTTAACAAAACCATGTTGTTCTTCTACTAAAATATTTTGAATATGTTTATATATTTTAATATAAATAATGTGTTCAAACAGTTTTGAAGCAGCACACAAAATAGCAACACCTCTATAATTTTCAATGTCCTTTTTACTTCCCGATTTATGTATTGGTATATATGTTGCTAATTTCCACTGTGTAGGATACGATGAGTTTTTAATAATTAAATTAAAAATATGCAATAAGGGTGTCTTTAACCACTCTTGACAGCCTTTTAAAATGTAAGGTGGTATTATATCACTACCAGCACTTTTTTTTGGTTTTAATCGCTTAACCGCTTCATCATAATCATCTGAATTTATTGCATTTAAATGACATTGATTGTATTGATTTAAAGTAACGTTCACATGATCTAAATTATATACAGATTTTTCAGAGGAATGCACGGACATAAAATATTCCGCAAATTTTTCGGCAATATCTTTGTCAGGTACTTGACTACTTTCAAAGTAAAATGTTTGTGATTGACGTCCCTCATCTCTTTTTTTGTTGACATAATTCCAAAAATTGTTCACATCCGCAATTATATTTTCCTCTATTTTCTTTAAATATTTCTTATGTTCTTTCCTTATTAATGATTTTAATTTTCTCCGAGTTTCAATGTACATATTATTAAAATAATCTGAAACATGTTTCATTTTGTAGTAATAATTCTTTTCTTTCAATAAATTAATAACATCAGCATTAAACCATACTGGAAATTTTTTATAATTCACATACGTTTTATATTGAGGTACAGTTTGATTAAAAATATTATATACGTTTGAATAAAAATTTTCTAAAGCAAGTTCTACATTATTTATTTCGGTAGCATTATCCCAATTCATTTCTTTCATATATTCATACATTAGGTGAAAATTAGCTTTCTTAAAATTGTATCTATTATCAGAGAGTTTATCTGTACCAACCTCTTTCTTACATTTATTGAATAAAATGTTCATTGCTAGAGCTGGGTGTAGTACGTCTTCCGGTACTAAAGGAAAACGTTCCTTAATAATGTTACAATTCCTAGCATTCTCTTCAGTCATAATAACGAGATCCAATGTTTTTCCTTGTGAGTTTTTTACATTATTATGTAGTATAAAAGAATTAAAAGTTAAAAAATCTATCAGAATGCTACCTTTAGTACTTATATTCATTGATTCCAAATAACTAATTCCTTTAATCTCGGGAAAATTAAAATCACCAAAAATAAATATTTTGTTAATATCTTTTACATAATTTTGCAATAATTGAAAACAAGATATGTAATCATTTACTCCAGCATTAGGAGGAATGTAAAGTCCTACAATAGTAACATTAAACTTATTAAAAATTTTTACATCTATAGCTAAAATTTCAAAAGTTGAGGCATGTTGTGTAATATTTAAAATTTTATGCTGTTTCTTAAGGGCCATGACAACCCCACCGCCCCAAGCCTTTCCTGTAATTTCTAAATTTCTATATGTTCTAAATATATTATAAGAATCAACATCGACACTCCTGACACCCTCCTTTAGCCAAGATTCTACAAATATTATTATGTCATAATTACCTTCTGAAGTGTTCGCATAAAATTCTGCCGTTTTCGTGTTCAATCCCCTACAGTTCTGATATGCTATTGACAATTTTGACATACCTACCTATGAAAAACGTATATAGTGAGTTCACCTGAATAATAAAATACAAAGAAAAACGTGATAGTAGTAGCAGTAACAAAATACTAGACATGTATTATCTTTAATTTAGAAATAAAATAGAAAAGAAAATTGAATTCAATGAATATATAATTTCAGTTTTAGAAAAAACTAATATTGAAATTTAAAACATATTTAAAAAATAAAAAATTAGATAGTGGAAAGAAAATTTATGTAACAAATGTTTGTTTTAAAATATAACAAATAACAACCAACCGATATTTAAATCTCATAGAAAACCTGAAAAAAAATTTTAATTAAAGCAGCAATTATTTACAAGTTTAGTAATAAATAATTACTCAAATAACATTTGACATTTAAAAATACTCTCCAAAAAATCATTTTGAAATTATAGTAATAATTAAAATAACAACTTGCAATTAAAATCCCATCTCAAATATAACATAAACAAAATTAAACTTGTGGTCGTGATCTATCTAGAAAAGAAGGAAAACAAAAAAATTTTTTTTTTCTAAAATTCACAATAGTTCCAGTTCATTTTATTCAGCGTATTACTTAAAAGTGTCCATACACTACCCAGTAGAATCGGTTTAGATATCAGCTTCACAAATTATTTTCTTAATACCATCGTTTTGTTTCATAAATATATCTCCATTTCGGCTCCAAACTTCATTTTTGCCGTATTTATTTTTAGCTTTCATTAGAAGGTTGTAGCGTTTGTTGATTAAATGTTCATTAACAAATATTCCAGTCTGTTTCAGGGTTCCTTTTGATTTAATAATTTCGTTCCTTTTTAAGTAAGATACAAATTCAATTATTATCGTTCTAGGTTTACCTTGTATGTTAGTTTTACCTAATCTGTATATATTTGATATATCTGAAATTGTACATTTAACTTTCATCGTATTGTTTACCAAGTTAGTAAAAATTGACAACAAGTTTTCATTTTCTTCTTCCTTAATTCCATTAAAGCGAAGCGAATTTTTTCTTTTAAAAATTTCAAATTCATCACATTTATCATGTAATAAATTTATTTCTTTTTCATTTGTTTTTATAGTCTTTCAATTCCACAATCTTAGCAGTAACTTCGTTTATCTTAGATTCCATTTTATCAAATCTTTTATCCAGTTTTCATCTAATTTTGATAAAAATTTTTGACATACCTTATTAGTTGCTCGATACCATTTTCATCCAACCCTGTACCAGATTGGCTTGTACTTCTTGTTTGTTTTGTAGACATCGTACGTGTGTGGTACGCTATATTTACAATATTGCTAATATTTCAATAAATAATGGTTTTTTCTGTTAAATTTTTTTATGCGTTGGTAGAATGCACTCACTTTGCAACTATGTTTAATTATAAATAATATTTATGTTCAATTTACCACTAATTTGCACAGATATTCAGGAGCTCTCACTACTCGTGCTTTACTCGGTCGCCATGTTTTAATACAAGCATAAAGGGAAATTTGGGAATGTACATAGTATTGCCTCATCCTTTAATTTTGGCTTTCTTCTTTTTATTTTACCAATAGTACCATCAGTAAAAATAGTCTCATAATATTTGGAAATATCTTTTAAAAAGTGTAGAACAGCATCATCTCTAGAAAGTGCTATATCGGTCATAGGAACGATATATATGTTGCCACTATTCTAAGGTTTAGGATCCTATAAAAAACATTTACAATGACAAAATTGAGGTTCAACAAAAAAATAACAATAGTAACTATTCATCTAACAATAAAACAAATTTTCTTTTCTGTAAGTTAAATTTAATATTTAATTATTGTTGTTTGTAACTGTAAAATTTTATATTATAGAAACTTGTAATAAACTAAACTCCGTAAGATACGGGTTGTGACTAGTTTACATTAGAAGCTTGAAAAAGACATCGAAGTGATTTCTCCTAGTTTTCTTTAGTTTTACATCTGATTTATATACCGTTCTATAATCTAAAACGAAGTACATCTTGCTTTGATCTTTTTTGTCACTCATGTAACTTGTACTCAGGTACTTTTTTATATTCTGATTCTTCTCATTAATTAAAAAAACACATAGAAAATTGACAGCGCTGACGTTCGACCTGCCAACTACATTCAATTTCGCGAACTTTATAAAAAGACGGACGGAAATTTGAAATTTGACCATTGCCGATTCGCCTCCTTCTCTCTAGTCTTCATAAGTACGAGGTATAGCGTGGGGTGTGCCATCTTTTAGAGGAGATGTACAGTTCATCAAATTTCTAGAGACTTTCGACGGCTAGACAGAGAAAGCACTACTGTTCATTTACAGGCTCAATTTTTTTCCGTTTCTCCTTTTTGATTTTATATGGGGTTTCAAGTTGTTTTTGACTTATTTCGACGTAAATCACAACAACACACTTTTTTAATAAAGCAAACAAGTGTTAAGAGGTATATGTACGTGTAAACTACAATTACAAAAAATTTATATGAAACCCATGAAACCACCAACAAAAATGTAAAGCTAGCTTCCGTACTAGAACATGGTGTCATTCGTCGAGATAATTTATCGTTTTGTTTAATAGATCAAGAAATATAAATATTCCCCTGTTATTTTTTATAAAATTATAAGAGAAATAAATTTTTTTCTAAATAGTATAGTTTATTATTTTGTAGAAAAACAAAATTTCGAAAATTTTAGTAATGTTTCAGAAACAACCGTTATTAATAATAGGTACCATTTTCCTTAATAAGGTAGAAATAAAATATAAACTATTTCCACGATTTACAAAGGCCTACAAAAAAATTATAGGTATTTTCCGCTATCCTATAAAATTTATATTTTCTGACTCATTTTCAAAAGATTGAAGGAATTCCAAAACACCTTTTATGGCATAATAATTATTTTCAATTCTACATACTATCTTTAGCTGCTTTTAAAAACGTTCTAAGAAAGTCCAATCAGACCAATTTAATCCCTAAACTATTCCACACTTTTAAAATTTAATTACCTAAAAATATTAAAAACTATTTAAACTAACTTGTTTAGCAGACTGTACAATAGCTATCTTAGTCACACGTAGCGCGTTCTCTGTCTGGGCGTCGAACACCTCTAGAAATTTGATGAACTGTAAAGTCATCGGTCTCGATTCCATAGATGGTAGGCTCGTTAAAACAGAATAATAAAATATTGATAATAAATGTCGTTTTTACCTCTCCCAAATCAATAAACTTATCAGCCGGATTTGCTAACTGCAAGTTAATCTTAACTCCACAACCATTTATTTTGATAAAACGTCTGGTACAGTTCAAGACAATGGGAACCATAAATTCGTAGTGACCCTCTTTTTTTGGATGAAAATAGAATGGTAATTTTTTCTTGCATTGTGGTTGGATGATTTCTGTTTTAAAATCTACCGTTAGATGTTCATTGTTTTCGAAAATATTGTCAAGTCTGAAATGAAGATTATATTTAAAATTATCGTTCGAACTACCTCAGATCTCCTTAATGTTAAATTGCTGCCAAATCGTTTACGCGTTAAAATTATTTACTTCGCGAAACCATTTTCCTCGTCATAGAATCTTTTATAAAATTGCTGTCTGTGAATTTTTCTAAATTCAAAAAAAAATTAAATTCTTTTTTGTTTAAATAGCTACTTAAAGCATAACAATAGGCACGGCCGTACCTAACAAATGTTGGCCAATTTTGCAACAGTTTAATACCTTTTTTAAAGCATGGTTTAAGGACTTTTTGATAAGGGTTTTTTTTTTCTTTATTATAACTCTCATAAAAATTGAGTTTTTCATAAAGATATAAAACAAAGGCAAAAAGTGCTATTGTAATTGTAAAAGTTAATAAGATTTGTATATTTGACAGATATGCAGAATTGACTCATTGTTATAATTAAATTTACATTTATTTACAGTTGTAAAATTATGTACAAGGTGTCCCAAATTGGTACGCTTTACAGAGTATTCCGAAAACTGATGAAGATGGAAAAAGTTATTAAGATGTCATGTTTTTTGTCCAAGCAAGTCTTGAATTGATCCCTTCATTTACGAGATACAGGACAATTATTGAAAACTGTCAAACACTGCACGGCGTCAAGTGACATTGTGCTTTTTAGTGATTTTCGAGTATAATATGAAAATTAAACTATTTAATGAGACAGGATGGCAAGGAAATGTGTAGCGTGCCAAAATATTTGGAATAAGAATTTTATGAGGCCATTTTATAGATAAGGTGTTATTAGAATAGAAGGAGAAATATGTGGGGAAAAAAAGCTTGATTTAATAGGATTTAACCATTTATAAAATTTAAATAAACCCTCTAGAAACACTATTTCCATGTCTAAGTTATGATACCCCTTTCCCCGTCTGGTATATGATGCTTACAAAAGGTGTATTGGTTATAGTATAGTGATTTGAGGGATTCATTCTTCGGTTTTTGAGTAAAAGCAAATCCTTTCTAGAGTGGATAGAATATGTCTTTAGTCTTTAGTAGATTTTTGAACAGACTCATTTCAAAAAAACATGCTGATTTTTTTAAATTATCTTGAAAGCATTTTCATTTTGGGCCACAAGTTTTACAATTACATTTTAATAACATATGGTATGACTTTTTTTTATTTTTGTATTGGTCCATAATGGCGTCTATTCATTGTTTTGAAGAGTTTATCCCCATTTAGATGGATGTGGAAGTTTCACCACTTGTTGGCAAAGGTTATCCAAAACAAATCTTGCTTAAAAATCACATTGCTCTATATGCAGTGACAAAGCATTCATTGGATAATTCTCAACGAATTACTTATATTTTTTTATTAAAATGTTTCATTCGGCTAACATCAATATCGTTCGTTTCAGAATGTGTATTATAACAAATTTTAAAATAATATTGAGTTGTCCCGATGTAAGTTCTTTTGGATGCAGCACTAATGCAATGAATGCAAAAGATTCCCAAGCTTTCCAGAACTTTTTTTTTCACAAAATAAATCGGCCATGCAATGAGTGAAAAACGGGAGAGCCATTAATTTTGTTAGCCACCTCCACACAATAAATATACCTTAGGTCCTTACCCGTGCCAAACTCAATCCATACGTCTTCTGCAAGTGCTGGAACATCAGTATCGACAGATTTTATGACAATTTTTGTATAGCCGTTTTCAACGCAATTGTTCGCGTGTGCGTAATTTTGTGTTGTAAAGTATCAATATTAATCAAACTCTGCACTCCATCCTCAATCTGCCCTTAGAATTAAATAATAACGATAAAAATGTATGCGTGGATTGTAGATTTGTGTCGCCGACGTAAAATTTCGGTGAGAGGGGTGGCTATTAGATCACCTGAGGTGACCGGGAACCGGGAGATGCAGGTGGGCAGTGGCCGTTGAACTGTGACACGGTTAATATAGGTTACAAATAGTTTACGATTTAACTATTATTCTGCAATATTCGGTATTTTGATACGATACCCAACACTAACTTTCTGTTAACAAGTTATTTGGTCGATGACCTAATTGTAAAACTGTTTTTTTTTATTCTCGTTTGATTGGGTAACCTTCTTCATCTACGAACCCTCTTGAAGATTAGCATATCTAGGCGCTCTACATTTGGCTCCCAACTAGCGGCGAGTGAAGGAGGTACCTATCATATGTAAAAAAATAAAACAATTAAAATAAAGTTCTAAATGACTGTTACATGCAGAGTGAAGTGAGTAATGAACTTCAAGTTTAGGCTGAACGAGTTCAGTGTCTACAGCGTTATTGCTGAGATTGTTCATTATTTTATAATATATAAAAACATTATAAAAAAAACTAAAATGCCACCTAAAAAAAAATAAAAGCTGGAAAAAACAGAGATGAGTTTTCCACTAGTGCAGACAATAGTCAGATTTTTCAAACCGATCTCATTTCAAATCATAGCAAGGCACGAAGTGATATTTTTGCTCAGACATTGTGCGAATAGTTTAAAGAGCTTAGCGTTAATTTAAACAAAACACTGTCCGAAAGTTTAAACGGGGTAATGTTTCGCTTTTCAAATGCGATTGAGAAAATCATGTTAGAAGTTAATCATAATTTATCTAAATTAACTGAGGTAGTTATAAATAAGCCGACGAGCGATTTGGGGGTTAAAAACCTTTCAACAGATGTAAATAACTTTAGAAGCAATATGGCTAATTCAAGTAATTCGACAGAAAATGATAATTCACAGGTTGAAACTTTTGTTATTAATAATAGACAGTACATTACTGTGTGGAAAGATCTGGGTTGTCCGAATTTACACTTTTCTCTAGATGGATCTGTCCATCCAGTATATTTAATTAAAAAACTAGAGATGGTTTATAACACAATAATATAAATAAACTTCAACGTTTATTCTTTGTTCGATTGGGTAACCTTATTTATCTACGAACCCCCTGAAGATTAACTTATCTCGGCGCTCGACAGTGCGTCTGCCTTCTCATGATTACAAATTGGGATTATGGTTAAACAGTTCGAAGGTGGGTTAAACAATACTTTTTTGTTATTAGTTCACACTATGACTTTATTTTTAGGCAATGGCATTGTGCTAAGTTATGTGAAAATTAGATCAAATAATTCTTATTTGTTTTCTGCCACCCTTAAAAAATCGTAACAGATTTTTGAAACAGCTGTAGTGCCCCTAACTAACTTTCGATTGCCTTTTCCCCCACATTCTCTTGGTTGTTCCTTTAAACTGTTTTGTACATAAGAATCCCATATTATGTCTACTTTTTTTAACCACTTTAAAATATTTAGCAAATAAAGGCAGCAAATAATTTTAATGATGTTTCTTCAAACGGATTTCCATATTCCTTAAAAGTGTCTATAATATGAGAAACAATAGATATAAAACTGTTTTGTACCGTGATGTTTTTCAATTTGTATCGGACTATGAAAATTTTAGAATTCGTCAATTAATCGGGCGTCCGCTTTTTTTTTACTTTTGCCAAAAAATGTTATATACCAATCGATAGAGAATACTATTCTAAAATTTTTTATCTTCTATTTTTGTTTTTGTTTTAAAAATATTGATAACGTGTGTCTTTGTAATAACCTCCCACCATATTTTTGTTCTTGCGGTGCCTTACCTTGAAAACATAAACAAAAGTTAGGTCATAACCGGTATGCAGAATTTTGTGCTCTATCGAATTGCACCCAAACGACGTATCTATATTTTATGAGAAAAATAATAAAAACTAATATTACCCTTATCAAATTTGAGGTGGTCAGCAGAACTTTTTAAGATGGGTTTGTTTAAAAATCTACTAAAGTTGACATCCTCGATACATTCTAGACTAGATTTACTTTTACTCAAAAACCGAAATATCAAGATAATTTTGGACGACGTCACTATGTTATTATTTAGTATGGAGGGCGAGTCTATCTTAGATAATACGATTCTATGGGTAAGGGAAGGGGCCCAATTCCTGACGCCTTCGTTAACTTATCGCATGCGATAAAGTATGCGACTTGATGAAAGTGTATTCCTGAACTGGCGGCATTCGTCAAATTTATTAACGCATACGCTAAAAAATGGTGACTTTCAAAGAGCGCTCATGACCGTTCGACAACCACTTTGTCGCATTCGTTAAGGTGAAAGTAAGGTTATAATCAGAGGGTTGTCTCCACATACTTTGATTTTCTTTTGTATGTGGTTGTCTCTGTTATAATTGTCAATTAATCCTGCTTTATCATAGGAGTTTTACAGGCACTAAACAATGTTATAAATTTTACTAAAGTTTCACGCTGTTTTTCCGTTATTCGTGAACCACGCTGTTCCATTTTTAATATTCTAAATCTAAACCACTCCAATTTGCAAGTCCAAAATATAAATAATCACAATTAAAACATCCAAAAACCAAAAATTATTAGACATCTGCAATCCATTTAATTTTATAATTTTTGCATTTTTGGCAATTTTGACATATGTCAATGCAATTATCTCATATTCAGTGATACCATCTTTGGTATTCTAAATCCTCATTGGTTAAGACTATGCAATAATCAAAGACTCTTCGTTAACACGTTCGACTTGATTCGCGATTATCGCATGGTGTTCAGGAATACTAAATTGCTGTCGTATGCGTTAACGACCATGCGTTACTTAGCGCATGCGGCAGTTAACGCATGTTTCGAGAATTGGGCACCAGAGACAATCCAGCGAGACGTGTAACTCAATGTATTTTTTTGTTCGGTAAATGTTATTTGGGCGATTGTAACCACAACCAGTCTATGATGGCGAAACTAGTAAATAGCGGGAAAATAAAAAATGCTTTAGGGCGGGAAATTCAAACATGGATTCAGAAATAAATAGTTTTTCCATACAAATTTACAGGAGAAACAAAAACTATTGTTTCACTGTATATTAAAAAATATAAAAGCTTCCAATAACATCAAATTTTTTTATCATATAAATAATCATTTTAATAAAGGAAG